GTGGACCCCACTGCGTCCTCGGCCGTTTGAACGGGATTATGGGTAAATGAAGAGGCGCTCCGGAGGAAACGCTTAAGAGGATTTAAGTGTGTTATTAGCCATATGTTGAGGGATTGGTTCGTTTCAGAGCTCGTTTGAGCGGCACACGCAGAGAACCTGACGTGTGTTTAGAGGAACGCTCGACCGCTGGTGGTTCAGGAGATTCCCCCCCTTCTACTTTGAGTGCCCAGAAAAACGATATATAAATGTAACAAAATTATTATTATTAGACTTTTGACACTACCGTTCAAAAGTTTGCAGCCATGTTTTCGGACCTTGAGGTTTCTTCTGCTCACCAAGGCTGCATTAATTTGATTAAAAATACAGAAAAGAACTGTGAAATATTATTAGAATTCCAAACAAATGGTTTTCTGTGAATATATAGTAAAACGTAATTATTCTTGTGATCATTTCAGCAACATTTCTCCAGTCTTCAGTGTCACATGATCCTTCAGAAATTAGTGCTGCTCAAGAAACATTTATGATTATTATCAATGTTGAAAACAGTTCGTATTTTAGTGGAAACTGTGATGCATTAGGATTTTTTGGTGAAGAGAAAAGAAATAGAAGCGTTTGTAACATTATACATGTCTTTTTCTGTCACTTTTGATTAATTTAACACGCACATGTCTTTGTGTTGTCACCATGATCTCAGATCTCAGTTAAAACTCCAGCAATGCCATTCAATTTAGCTGCGAAAGCGCCTTATATCTGTAACGTCTTCCAGAGATTCATGACTTCCTGTGGAGCGTCAGGTGTGAGCGGTTTCTCTTTGAAGTGTGCGCATCACTTCCTGCAGGGCCTGGAAGGATTGATAAGAGAGAAATGATTCCTCCACACTGATTTGCGCTGGTTGTTTCTCTTCTGCGCTTCGGCCGGCGTTTGGTGTTCGGTGGAGGGGGACTCATATCTTCAAGGCTTTGACGTGAAGGATAATTGAATTGTGTTTGTCTGAAGTCGCGGATGAGCTTGTTTCACTCGCGAGGTCAGTCAAGGGAAACGCTGCACTTGAGTGTTTTAGCTTCTGAGAACAACTTTATCCAGTAGCTAGATGCTTGTTTTCTTGCGATAAAGCCTCTGAACGTTCACGGATATCTCCGGATCTGATGTTGGCCGTTCAGGTGTTGGACATTTTCAAAAATGTTATCTGAGATGATAATGGTATCTTGAAGAAAAGCGAGAAGAGGGAAGATTGAGTTGTTCAAATACGAGACGTTCAGGCTTGTTTTTAAAGAGGTTCACTTGTATAATAGTGCAGATGATGTTCAGACGTTAATGGGAATATTAAATCTTCAATCGTCATCATGTCGTACGCTGCCTCTGTGAAACTCAAGAGGAGATGTTTTGCAGAATGTTCACGCTGTTCTTTTTCAATACAATCAAAATAAATGAACAGAAATGACATTTATGTCAAAAGTCTATTTTCTCAAAATGTATTCATGCTTGTGTTCAGTGCAAATATGATTGGTCAATTTTTTTTGCAAGGCTTGATGCAGTGCATTAATTAAACTAATCCCATAAAAAATTTTCAAGTACCTTCTATTTAAAAAAAAATTAATACTTGAAATAAAATATAAAATAAAACATTAACTGATTGCCTGGACAAGTTTTGTATTATAGTATCTTAATCACATTTGTTCATTAGATCCTTTCCTTTGATTTATTATATTGTTGTATTTGGTTTTATTCAAAGAAAATAATCAAAACCAAACAGATGTTGTAGTTTTAGCCAGAGCATCTGAGGCACAAGCTGTACTGGCTCCGCCCTCTTCTGGAAGGGGGCGTGGCAGCAGCTCATTTGCATTTAAAGATACATGCACGAAAACAGCGTGTCTTTCCTTCCACTCAAAGATGCATTTACAACAGGGTATAATAAATCATCTGTGGGGTATTTTGAGCTTAAAATTCACAGACACATTCTGCGGACACCTGAGACTTGCAGTCAAACCCAAAATGTATTCAGACACGTTCAACATTTCTCACATTATCACAGTTTATTCACTATAGTTTAGAAGATGTTAATGAGTTCTCGGATCAGTTGATATTTCATTGGTTTTGTCCGTCCTTCTGTTAGACTTTCACAAATGAATTATGTTGAATATCTGTCAGTTGTTAAATTTAACTACACAACCAGTTTAGCTCAAACTATTACCAAGTAATGCTTCATGTTGTTCAGTCTGTGTGTAAAAAGAGCGTTAGCAATTACAGAAAAAACACTGAAGCAAAACACAGTCTGGAATAATTTTGATCCCAAATTTGCATAAATGTTATGCAAAGAATTTTGGGTATAATATTTCACAGTTTACTTTATTTTACTATCCTAACATAGTGTCCTGTACCCACTAGTGAAAAAAAAAACATTAAAAATGATATCTGATTAATTTTTGGTTTGACTGTATATTAATGTAGTAAAAAGAGGCATAGGTCTCCTTTAAATAGCCTGTCTTGTCTTCTTCCTCAGCGGTGTTCACAGAGGTCCCTCATGACATCTCGGCACAGAGCGGTCAGGACGTGGAGATGGCCTGCTCGTTTCGAGGGGCGGGGTCACCGTCCTATTCGCTGGAGATCCAGTGGTGGTACATCAGGAACCACAGAGAATGGACGGACAAGCAGACGTGGACCACCAATCAGGTATGGGGTGAATTATTATTAATTGAACCTGAAAACGTGTAAAAAATCGAAGGAGAAACCCGAACCAAATCTTTTCACAGCAGATAAGAAGAAACCACTTAGCAACCACTCAGAACACCCTAGCAACTACCGTAGGGTGTGTTTCCCGTACAATGACGTAACTCGCTGCTTAACTACTACACTGTAAAAAAACATTGTTGGTTTAACTTAAAAAAGTAAGTAACCTGGTTGCCTTAAAATTTTAAGTTGATTGAATTGGAAAATATGAGTTGGGAGATTGATTTAATCATCAGAAACTCAAAATAATAAGTTATCTCAACTAAATAAATTGTTTAAGTTGATTTGACAAAAGAAAAAATGTTGTGATAACAAATCATTTTACAGTGTATAGTACGATGCATCGTTGAAGAAATCAACTAGCTCGTCACGACTGTTTCCCGAAACCATATCGTCGCGACGTGGTCGTTGGAGTAATAACTCATTTTAATGGATCTCTTTGAGATCGAGATGTTTTGATAATATAAATTACGGAATATTTCACATTTTTCTCAGTTTTTTGCTTTATTTCCGATTCAATATTCTCTCGTTCTTACACACTAGAGCTTCATCTTTTAAATCTCTTGACAAACTTAAAGACATAAATTACATTTGTATGTATTCTGAAGAAAATATATAGATTGTACTGAATGTCAGCTTGCATATTTGGCTCAAGATAAGGATTTATTATTATCCACGTGTCTGCAAACAAGAAACTGCTTCTAACCACATCTGTCGTTACAAGGGTTGGGAATCGTTTGAATTTGAACGATTCCGATTCCGATTCCTTGTTTCGATTCCGGTTCCTAACGATTCTCGATTCCGATTCTTTTAAGAGGCAGGGTCAAAAAAGTTTAGCTAACCTTGCTAACCAATGGCCTTTCTGAAGGAAATAATCCTTTCTGAAGGAAATACTCCTTCTGTAAAAATACTCCTTTTGTCACAAATTTTGCATTTTGCCGAGATTTCTTTATTTTTAGAAAAGTGAAGCCACACTTTGGATCGCCGACGTAAGGTACTCATGTTCGACTCGCGTGGTTATGCGACGCTTCTTCATTGGTGTTGTTGTTCAGCGGTTTCTTCTTCCGCTCGGCGGACTGTGAATATCGAAACGGAATCGAAATTTTAACTTTTGAACGATTCCGGGAAAAACGAAAAGTTAGTCTCGGTTCCAATCGATACTCGATTCTCGATACCCAACCCTAGTCGTTACTCTGTTTGCGAATGTTAATTAGAACGATGTTTTCGGGAAACACCGACTCGTTGAACTGCTGATAACGACGAAACTTGCGACCAACGATGCTTTTAAATAAACACATGAATGAGACCTTTAACGCTGGTATATAATGCGAGCCGTTCGCTGTTAGGTTGAGGATTCAATGCCAATGTGTTGAGGATTAAATCTGATCCAGAAACCAAAGTGTTACTAAGATCATAATCCCAGCGTTCTGTCAGCGGCGGCCCTTTACCTTCACACAGATCTGCCCACAATTACAGCACAGAGAGCGGATAACTATCGCTAACAATACTCAGAACAATATGATCCTCAGCGGGCCTGCTGTCACCATCTGCAATTAGGAGCCCGCTCTCCTCTTTCTCTCGCCACTCAAACACAGAGTCCTGTTTTAAGAGTCTGAGAGAGAGAGAGAGGGTTCGGCATCCTGTCTGACACACACACACACTCACACACACCACCAGTTTAATAACCAGCTGCCAATCAAAGGCTTCAGCTGCACAGCATCACCTGCATGAATACAGACAGATCAAACCTGAGAAATTCAGCTGAACATTCTAAAAGAACCTTTTGTGGAACGGAAAGATTCCGCTGATCTTAAAGGATCTTTACGGAACCGTCGATTCCAATAAACAAGCTCTATTTTTAAAGCGTAAAGCAAGTGAAAAATACGTCATAGAGAACAGAAAATCGGAACAGGTTGCAAAATATGACCAAAACAGAATATAAAGATATAAACGAAGCACCTGAAGAGAATAATTTCATCTTTTCTGTACTCATAAACACTCCAAATATACAACAAAATGCATTTAAGGGATGAAAAAGATGATTTAGCATGATATGTCCCTTTTAAGCGTGTAGCAAAACATCAAAGCAAGTGTCATTTGTTGCAGTGAAAGATGCACAAACAGAATTTACAAGAAAACACTTGACAAAAAGACATTTGAAATCAATCGAATAGGTCATTAGATCTAGTGTTTGTGTTTGTGTAGTATTGAAGGGCAGCTGTGATTTGTCCTATATTGATATAAATCAATTTACACTATAAATATTGAAAAGTTTCATGCTCACTTTAAAAACCAATTCACATTTTGGTGACACTTTAGAATAAGGTTGTTTGTTAACATATGTTAATTCAAAAGAACTAACAATGAAACATACTAAAGCATTTATTAATCTCAGTTCATTTCAACACTTACTAATGCATTATTAAAATCAATAGTTGTATCTATTTAATGGTGTCAGCTAATGTAATAACATTAACAAAGATTAACAGATACTGTTACAAATTGGTAGTTAATTTAGTTAATGCACTTACTAATGTTAATTAACGTCACCTTATTGTAAAGTGTTTCCCATATTTTATTGTGAAATTTCATATTTCAAAATCTAAACATGCAAAAGCAGCAGAGAGTTAATAATAAAGGCCTAGTTAAATGTTTTCAAGGCCGTCATATAACAAAAACACATTGAAATCTGTTGGTTTTAATAAAACCACTGGGACATGAAGTGGCCAAAGTTGAAGAAACATAAATATGAAGTGAGAACAGGAGAGGATACAGTGGTATTGATGGACTCGAGAGGCTGCGGCAGGTAACAGTCCACACTACATTAATCACAACGGTGGAAATAACTGCAGCTTCCCGAGAGAGAGAGAGAGAGAGAGAGAGAGAGAGTGCAGGACTTCCTGCTGTGAGCTCAAGATGCTCTTTAATTGGATGGAGGGATGAAAAGAAGGACATGGAGAAACTCTTGCTCACCTTTGCGTCATGTTTTATTCATGAAGGCTCTTGAGGATCAGTTCAGATTCCAGCACTTTATATGTTTGTGTGTTTGAGTGCTGTTCAAATGTCCTGCTGCACGCTTTGTTTCACTGCATTAAACACACTAATATTGTATAGAGCAAGTACTATATCGCATATTTCAAGTGCTTGACTGTTTCATCATCGAAAAATGCACGGTTTATTTTCACCCAATGTATTAAAAGTTGGACTATTGATAGTAGGCTACCTGCATGCAAATTTTGCGTGATTATTTAAATTATTGATTATTTTACTTTTAAGATGGCAATATTTACAATACTTTATTTTGTTTACAAAAATAACTATTTTCTAAATTTTTTAATATTTTAAAATATTTAATAAGCATTAAAAGCTATCTGTGTGTTTCTTTATTTTAGAAACAAAGATAGGATTATGCACTCTTTCATTAGAAAAAAATATATACATATTTACAGTATAAGCCTTGCCAGTGACATGAGAATTTAAATAATCACTCAATAATCGTAATCGAGGTAACTCGTTCGATTAATCGCGTTTATGATTTTAGCCAAAATCGCCCAGCCCTAGTATATTATCACTCAATATATTAAAAGTTGGACTACTTGATAGTAGGCTACCTGCGTGCAAATTTTGCGTGATTATTTAAATTATTGATTATTTTACTTTTAAGATGGCAATATTTACAATAATTTATTTTGTTTACAAAATAACTTTTCTATTTTTTTAAATATTTTGAAATATTTAATAAGCATTAAAACCCATCTGTGTGTTTATTTTAGAATCACAAAGATAGGATTATGCACTCTTTCATTAGAAAAAAATACATACATATTTACAATATAAGCCTTGCCAGTGACATGAGAAAGAAAAAAATTTAAATAATCACTCAATAATCATAATCGAGGTAACTCGTTTGATTAATCGCGATTATGATTTTAGACAAAATCGTCCAGCCCTAGTATATTATCACCCAATATAATGTATTAAAAGTTGGACTACTTGATAGTAGGCTACACCCTATTTTACCTGCGTGCAAATTTTGCATGATTACTTAAATTATTGATTATTTTATTTTAAGATGGCAATATTTACAATAATTTATTTTGTTTACAAAATAACTTTTATATTTTTTTTAATATTTTGAAATATTTAATAAGCATTAAAACCCATCTGTGTGTTTATTTTAGAATCACAAAGATAGGATTATGCACTCTTTCATTAGAAAAAAATACATATATATTTACAGTATAAGCCTTGCCAGTGACATGAGTAAGAAAAAAATTTAAATAATCACTCAATAATCGTTATCAAGGTAACTCGTTCAATTAATCGCGATTATGATTTTAGCCAAAATCGTCCAGCCCTGTATCATATTAAAAGTTGGACTTCTTGATAGTAGGCTACACCCTACTTTACCTGCGTGCAAATTTTGGCTGCGTGATTATTTAAAACCACAGTATCTCGCTAAAGTCACTACGTTGAGTTATTTAAAAAAAACAGTATACACTGTAAAAATGAATACGCTTTATCTAATCAATAAAATCGTGGCAACAGATTACAAGCAATATTATTTAGTAAATTGAACAAATTAGAATTGAGTAATAGTTAATCAAATTAACATTCTTATTAATTCTAATTTGTTCAATTTAATTAATAATATTACTTGTAATATGTTGCCACAATTTTATTGATTAGATAAAGCATATCAAGCAGCACATAGACTACTCTAAAATATATCCAAGTTTCATTTCTATTGTATTGCCCTTGAGAAGATATACTAAAATGTTTGCTGAAGTGTGAGGGGTGGACTCTCTTTCGTGAGATACTGTAAATCCCGATGTGTTGATGTATGACTACGATGTGTCTGGTTGCAGGTCGTGCCACAGAATGAGATGTCAAAGGATGCCACCAAAATCAGTGTAAGTGTGTAATTTCCCTCATGAACGTCTCTTTAGTGTTCGCTCTCAGCTGTTGTCATCTAAAAGTTCATTATGTGTGTGTGTGTGTGTGTGTGTCAGGAGGGCAAATAACTGGAGCATGCAAACACAACATCACACTCGCTTGGGCTAAAGGTGATTTGTTTGAAACTCGCTCGGCTCTTGTTGGTTGAGCCGCTGCAGGGTGTGTGTGTGTGTGTGTGTGTTCATGTTTATTCCCCACAATTACAGTAAAACCTGAAATCACCTACATTGTGGGGTCCAGTCCGCAGTCCCGATGAGGAAAACAGCATATAAATCATGCTAATTAATGTTATTTTGAAAATGTAAAATAAGGGGTAGGTTGAGGGATAGGGGCAGGGTAAGGGGATAGAATATACAGTTTGTACAGTATAAAAAACATTACGCCTATGGAGAGTCCCCACAAACATGTGTGCGCCTGTTAGTGTGTGTGTGTGTGTGTGTGTGTGAATAAATCAAAGCATCTCTCTCTGCTGCCCCATAAAATATTCACAAGGACTTTTGCTTCCTCTGAACGCAGAGCTGTTGATGTGAGACTGAGAGTCGCTGCTAACACACCGTCCAGACGCTGGCGTTCACTGCAACACACATGACCTTCTCCACACCATGTAGATTTAGCTGTGGTCTTAGAGTTGCTGATAGCGAGAGTGTTTTTTTACCATCCTCGACATACGGTACGCTGTGGAGACGAGTTGATGTAAGTGTGTTTGTGTGTGGGTTTGTGAATGTATGTTTATTTATCCACCTGATCCACACTCAATCTGTTTCACTGGCAGACGCTTTATTGAGCGCCTGGACCCGCTGGGAACGCTGGCCGCTTTACACAGAGATTGTCCTGTTGTCTGTGTGTTTCAGAGAGAGAGAGAGAGATGTTGAGCGAATGTCTCTCGTCCGTCTCTGCGGTTCTACATCTGAATCATTTCACTCTCCCACTGCATTCACTTCCACTAGGAATTAACCCTTTCATTCATTTAGCAGACGCTTTTATCCTAAGCGACTTACACCTGAGCAATTTATCATAAAGTGCTGGTAATACAAAGACCAGGGAGAGATTACAACCTGAAGCTAAAATAGGTGTTTTTCACATATCTAAAACAGTGTGCTATTGTTTTTGTCATCTTTTTCAGAAAAAAATATTAGCTTTCAACAAATTACAGTTATTGACCATTATTGTGTGTCGTGAGTTTGTAAATAGAATTTAAATAGACAAAAAAAAAAACGAGACTACATTTTCTGATTTTTATTAAGAAAAAAACCCCCAGAAAAATTACGAACAAAAGAAACACTTTAGGCAAGGCAAGTTTATTTATATAGCACATTTCATACACAATGGCAATTGAAAGTGCTTTACATAGAAGAAATTAAAATAATCAAAAGAAATTAGAATAATTAAAACAGTTTAGAATAAAAAATAAGAAATAATGAAAAATAAAAATTATGATAAAAATAAAACACAGTAAATTAAAACCATTTAGAATAAAATGAAGTGCTACAGTAACAGTCGGACGAACAGTGGCACAGTGCTCATTCAGTAAATGCACTTTAAAGCTATATAATTTAGTATAATATTTCTATGTAAGTCTATTTTTGTGACATTGGGTTGCACAGTTTTCATTTATACAAAGGAAAGCATGAAATTACTGTAATAAGCCGTACAGTATATTGCAGAAAAGGGCATGTTGTCTCCTGTCAGGGGTAATTTGAATGGTTTTGATAGTGCGAATGGTTGAGAAAAGTTACATTTTTGGGTGAGCTGTCCCTTTAAATGTGTATTTTAGATGTTTTCTTTCCACTATTTGAAAGCTAAATGGTCTAAAATCTCAAAAACAATGGTTGTCTCTCCTTAAATGTTCTCAAAAAGCTTCTCTTTTCTAAAATACGATGCATGTTTTGACCAAATCAGTCGGAGTCTGTTTTAAATCAGCATTTTCGAGGCTGATTCATGATTTAATACCCTGACCGATCATTTTCAAACCTCTGAGCGGTTCTCCTGTCCGTTTCTCCGCAGGTGGTGAAGGTCGCCGGAAGCAACATCTCCCACAAGCTCCGACTGTCCAACGTGAAGCCGTCAGACGAGGGCACGTACGAATGCCGCGTCATCGACTTCAGCGACAGCAAGCTACGCCACCATCGCGTGCGGGCGTACCTGCAGGTGGAGCGCGCGGATCCTCCGTCCCACCAGGGGGCGACGTCACAAGAGGACGTTCTGCAGTCCGAGCACCACAAGCACCACGCTCACCACAAACCCGGCCGAGAGCTCAGGAAGAGGTCCGCTGATGATAGTACCACTGACTGCACGGAGAGCTGTGCACTTTAGGTTCCTCTTATCGTTACTTATTACCCAACCCGAGCACCCGTACACCCACATCGTTCCTTACACCGACCCCTGAAGTTGGGATGGTTCATCCAAAAATTAAAAATTCTAAAATTTTCTCTCCCTCATGTCTTTCCAAACCTAAAACGTGAAGCCAAAGCGCCTCGATCGCCCTCAGGTGGTTGGCTCCAGTATAGGTTGTAAACACTGTAACGTAATTGACGAGGCAAACTAAACAATTAAATTACACTTCAAATACATTTTTTCCAAAGATGTTTTCTGTCATTTTAGGTAGTTTTTAGTACGTTCAACATCTCACGACTAAACAAAGGGTTCGCCGATGTAAGTTTGCACACCAATGCACAAAACGCGTAATTTTTAAAAAAGCGCCTTTTTGGTTTAACGCGTCGCGTTAAAAACTGCCCGACCAATGAGATTGCCGCTTTTGTGCTCGAGCACAAAATGATCTTGCCGAGTAAACATTGATAGAAGGAAGACGACGAAGAGGAAGTAGACGAAGAAGAAGATGAAACGAGGCAAGATTAAGGTAAAGCTGCTGGTGTCTAAACACAAAGATCGTTGACCAACGCCACAGCGACTACAAAAATCTTGATTAGAGGGAGTTGTTATGGATATTAATTGCACGTGAATACTGGCTCTCTTCTTCTGTGTGACAAGTGAGTGTTAGGAGTTGCGCAGCGCCACCTTGTGTACCGGGGTATTTCTGTTTTTAAATAAGCGCCATCTACATTCAGGGAGTGAAATTGCGTTCACTCGGCGCATCGCCAGTGAAAATTGCTTGAGCGGGAACACAAAAAAACGCTTCGCAAAACGCTGGCAAAAAGTGCACGATAATCGTCCCAGTGTGCACGAGAGGCCGTGTGTCCACCAAAGCGATTTTATCAAACTTTTTCAGCGATTTTGATCATATTTTACTGCTGTTTCTATATAAACAGTTTTTTATGTCCTGGTGACCAGTGATAGTGCAGTTCTGACTCTCTGCCCATTCATTTAGATACAGATATTACAGCCTGGTCTTGTTAGTCCGAAATAGCTGTCCGGAGGCGTTGCCAAGATGGCGGCCGAGTGGCAGGACTTTGACTGTACTAACCGTTTCTGTGGGAGTGTGTGCGGCTCCGCTTCACGTTCACTACTGCGCAGAATCAGGTCTCAAATATTTTCGAATTTAGCGCCAACTGGAAAGTTCAGCGCTTGATTTACTGACAACGAGCACAGTAATGAACACAGACAGAGCCGGATCATTTACATAATGACCAACGCAATCTACCAAGAACAGCACATGTTAGCGTCTGGTTTAAGACATGCTGCTTTTGGGCGGTAAAATAACGGCACAAACACCAGTAAATTGACTTGCGCAAACCTTAGTAAATCATCTTGTGTGATTCGTTTAAAGAGTAACTAAACACTAAACCAACTTTTTTTAGTTAATGATCTGTAAGAATGGATCTTTATTAATACCAGTCATTGATTCGAGTAACTTTTTTGACATTTGTTTATAAAGTGTTCTATTTCTACAATAAATGGTGTAAAAACGTCTTAGTGCTGCCCTCTTCAGGTTGAACGGTGGCTACTGCAGTTGAATTTTCCTATTGGATTTTTGCGGTGGTACGTGACACAGCGGTTGTTGGTGACGTAGGCAAGTTCCATACAAAGAGATGCGTCTCAGGTGCACGCCCCCCTCCGCTGGGCTCTGCCCACTTTTCCAGCATTTTTCAAATATTGCCAGTGGGTGGAGTCAGGCTCTGACCAGGGGTTTAGTTACCCTTTAAATACTCCCGTCCCATACATTTTGCGTCTGAAAGGAAAACTCCTACAAATGCATACGCGATGAGGTCAGTCGCAAAAATAATCCTGTCCATGCCTTTTCAGCGCTATTTTATTTAGTAAATACTGACTGTAGTTTTTTAACGCCAAATGATTGTTTCTCTGGAGCAAGCTGTTCGTAAATCTGACCCATATGCTTTTTTTTTTTATCAAATACTTGTATAGTTAAGTATTTGTCCTTTTATTTTATTTTATTAGTCCCTGGTCAGTGTCTACTTTCAAAGATCAGCTTAGACATTCTGCAAAATAAATAATTTTGTGTTTTATGGTAGAAAGTGAGGTAAGCGGGTTTGAACACGAGGGTTGAGAGAATAAATAAAAACTGAATTTTCATTTTCGAGTGAACTATCCCTATAACAACTGATGTATATTTCTGTATAAAAGTGAAGGTAGATATCTGTTCACCACAGCGAGTGCATGTGACAAACGTTTCTAACTATATTTGCCAATGAGCAAGAAACCAAATTGGACAGTTGATTTAAACTCTTTGGTCATTCTTAGTTCGATCAGATTCATGGTTTTGATACGATGTAGACAGTAGACGGCTAGGAGCGCCAGAACAAACGTGAATGTTTGAAATATTCTCCATCAGGTCTAAACGATGACATTTACATGCTGTAATATTACTATCATTGTTTACATAATGTTTCGGGCACCAGTTTTCTGGACTGGCATCACCGTTGGCACAAGTGCGATTTAATAGGTGCCAGCTTTTGCAAATATGTTTCATAAAGCTTTTCTGTCAATAGAAGGATGGTGCACACACAATATTACAATGTTTTGTGGTTTTTATGCAGCTTTAAAAGATCTTGAAAACACTCACTGTATGTTCAATGGTATGACGGCTTCGTTTCTGGTTTCTTTGCTTTTTATGGTTTGATTCAATTGTTTTTGTTTGTTTCTGGAAGTAATACATGTACAGATTGTGTATATTACAATAATCCTACAAAAGACTGGTTTCACCTTAAATGTATGCCTTTATCAAATAAATAAAAACATTGTACATTGATCATATATGTTTGTGTCCTATTAATACGTGATTTTTCTTGTTTAAAAAAAAAATGTAAAATTGTTTGTAGCAACCGTAGTTCAACCAGACATTTTGAAATATTTTTAAAAAGGCGCCACAGAGCGTGACGTCATCCCTCGTCCGAGACAGTGATTGGTCAACCTGGAAATAAGCATTTTGGTAAAAACAAAACACGTCTTTTTCTGATTTCACGCTTGATTTTTGTAGTAGCTACGCACATTTTTGTAACAAGTGTTTTTTATATTTCTTAATGACAAGTTCGAGAAGGAAGGAGAGCGGAAAGAGTTGTTTTTCAGAAGTTTCGAAACAGTATTTGGAAAGCTCCATCTTCCAATGGTAAGCCAAACGTTTGTTTTGTTTAGAGATCGACATGGTCGCAGTGTGCAAAATTATATATGGGCTCACGTTGTGGTTGCTTATTTAATTCACTTTCAAGTAGGCTAAGTTAGGCTACATCCACATTAAATGTACTTTCCCTGGCCGTAATTTTAGGTTGGGGTTTCTGGTTCTTAGCGCTAGTTTCTGATTAATATTTTAGCCTAATAGCTGAACACACACTTTTGACGGAGGTTGCGTCATTTAGGCTGAGGGTTGCGTTGATTGATAGCTAACGTTAGATTCATACAGTCGCCTTTTATACAAGTGGTGCAGAAACACTGCAAAAATAGCTTTCCATTATATTATATTAGACAAAAAACTTAAGACAACATGAGCTGTGGACGATCATAAACGACCTAGGAGCTTTATACAGCTTTTTAAACACGGTAAGTCCATCCCTCACACGCAGACTCGCTTCTATATATGCCATGGCGCTGCTCTGAATAAGGTCTATGGGCTCTCGCTCGCTGCAGTTCCAGTTTTCACCACTGATTTACATTGGAAAGCTGAGGGGCGCTGTAGAGCTGAGGAGGACTGTGCACCCGTTGAACCGCAGTATTGGTAAATTATCATATTCACTTTAAGACTTAAAATAGTCTACAAAATATTTGTTACAGAATTCTGAATACATTTATTTAGAAGTTTATGTTTTGGATGAAAATTTTGGTGGGGCTCTCTCACTCTGCTTCACAGATTATCGTTAAAGGGCAACATGCGTTTAGTTAATTGCTTAGAGTCCCTCTGTGGTGAAAATCCAGCTTTTAATGTTGTTTATGTGTCTGTGTGGTGTTTTTAATATGCTTTAAGACAAACCGTGTGTAAATTCATGTCAACACCATTGCAGAGTATTTTCTGCTTTTTGCTTAAAACTGCAGTGAACCAAAGACATAATATTTGCATATTCATAGAACTGCATAGTAAATGAGGCAATGGTGTCGAGTTAAATTCAAGCTATTTTAAGGCATGAAGATTTTTTTTTTTTAAGGAAAAAACTTTAAAATATATAATTTTGGTGATCAAAGATGAGTTTTAAGGGATAAAAGTATTCAGAACAGGCCAAGGGGACATAAAGTAAACTACTTTGACTGGCATTGGGCCTTCCATTGACGGTAAAATTGTAGATAATGATTCACATTATTTATAACTTTCATTCTAACAAAGAGCTCTTCCACCTACTTAACCTCAAAAATCACCTCGATTCTTCATTTCATCAATTTGCTTTGTCGTCTTTAACAGCGGCGAATCCTTCAAACAAAGCTCATGTCGAGCGGTTTGACTCTATAATGATGCTCCGGCACTTATCAGAAGCGGCGGGAGGAAATTGCATTAGCCGCGTATGAGGCATGTCAGCCGGTCACCCCGGCGCCCGGGCCCGGTGAATAATAGCGCTCTGTCAGCCCTGGCAGGAGGATAAATAGCAAAGTACAGTCCAGATAACACTACAGCAGGCGAACACAAAGCATACGAGGCAGCTTTAATGTGACTCGCACAGGCCACACATTTATTAGACTGTCACTGAAGAACCCGCGACCACACGAGACCCAACCAACAGGTCACAACTGCATTAACTATAATAATGATGGTGATTTGGCAGAAAATATTATTTAAATGCCATTTTTTTTGTAAGGAATACATGTTTTTTTTTTCTCAATCAGTTTGTTTTATTGTATATGGCAATGTGTCAACTTTTAACAGTATGTCCAAAACATCTTCCATTCATACGTGTAGTCAATGAAGATCAGGATACAGGACTGATTCTAGCGTTCAGACATAAGCATCCCTGTTATTGTCATCTAGTCTCAGGAGTTTCATCTGTTCGCCTGCAGGGAATCAAACTCCTCCAGTAATTTCAGGACGTTGTCGGTGAATTGGTCTCTGGGCTTGTCGGATCCACTCAGTGTCACGGGGAGAAGCTGTGGATGAGGCGGCTCGTACGTTACAGGACAGAACATCTCGTTCAGAGTGAACCAGCACATATCAGCGTCCAGATCCATCAGGGACCGGAACACACTGCGGACAGACACGTCATACGACAACTATTAGGGTAATTCATACTGTTAAAGCAGGGTATGGGAGTGTGTAACAGCACATAGTGAACTGGACCAGAGAGACAGTTCACCCAAAAAGGACAATTCTGTCATCATCTACTCACCCTCAAGTCGTTCTAAACCTGTATGAGTTTCATTCTGTTGAACACAAGAGATATTTTGAGCAATGTTGGTAACCAGACAGTTGATTTCACTTGGAAATGTTGGAAACTGCATGCATGTATATATTTAAGAAATATTTGCACTAAAATAATGTATATTTTATATAAATGGACTTCAATGGGGTCCAAATGGTTCAAAGTCCAAAAGACAGTTTCAGTGCAGCTTTAAAGGGCTTTAAACGATTCCAGACGATTCCATTTCACTTGGAAATGTTGGAAACTGTCTTGTTACCAATATTCTCAAACATCAATTATTCATACAGGTTTAGAAAAACATGAGGGTGAGTAAAAGATGACAGAACTGTGGGTGAACTCTCTCTTTAACGGCCAATTTGTAAATTAATATCTAGAC